AACCTTAACAATACACACAGGCTTAATCAACCCGAGCCAGCAACATGGAAATGGCTTCAATTCATGCCAACCAACCGGAACTCATTAACTTCACTATAGTAAACTGGTATCTGATTGGTTGCTGTGACTTGTTTTGCATGAAAGCGTTCCTCTCCGCTGATTTAATAAACCCGATAGGTGCAACATTGTAAGTAACAGTGAGTGAGTAACTGCAGGCCAAATTAACCAATAGAAATGGTTTGATTGGCTTTGTTAAAAAGTACTAAGTGCTGTATTTAACATACTGCATGTAAATGATTTATATATTATAATTTATTTTCATTAGAAGGCTATATAAAACATAGCTGCTACTACAGTAGTGCCAAAATAAATATACGTTCCATTTTTTTTGTACATAATAAAATATAATATAATAGGACTACAATGTTCAAAAAGTTATAATCAGTGGAAAGAAATGATACCAATTAGTGGTGAGAAGTTTGAGGGTATCTCCAATGCTGGCAGCATCTCCATAAGGGTGACCAATACAATCACTGTACAATCAACTTTAGATCTACCAAGACTATAGGGTCCATTTTAAAACAATTTGCAGAGCCATTCGCCTCTTTAAACGTTCGTTCTGTGCAAATGAAGGCAAAAGCAAGCTTTACTTTCTTTTCAGGTGAAATGTATATGTAACGTAATACCGCATTATGGCCACTGGATGGAGCTGAGGCGCATAAGAAATAAATATTTATTTCCTATGCGCCTCAGCGCCATCTAGTGGCCATTATCCCGCATTACATGACATTCAACCTGAAAGGTTATTTTTGCCTCCATTCGCACACAATAAATGTTCACAGGGCAAAAGGCTCTGCAAATTTTTTATAAACAGACCCCTATGTAATATGAGGACCTAACCGAGCTATTACATTAATTTGTATACAGTCAGGCAGACCCTGGCACTAACTACTGAAAGAGTACAATCAGAATGTAACATGTGTGGTGAGCTTGAGAACTAGGTTTGCAAGTCTGGAATTTATTACAAGCAATTTTAGCTTTTGAGCTTCTGTTGGCAAACCAGCCCTAAAGCTGAACTCTGGAATAAGCAACTATTGTTGAAATACAAGAGTCATGTGGATTATTACTGGAATCTTGGTGTGCTTTATGTATTTCTTCCAGATCTGAGCAGTAATCCAATATGAAACTATGTGCCTTTAATATTTTCTTTTCTTGTTGAATGTAATGTAATACTGCATAATGGCCACTAGACGGAGCTGCCTGTAATGTAGACCAGTCACTGCTGTTTTCTCTCCTTGTGCAGGGTGACTGGTCTTGTATCCACCCCTCCTGTAGAGTCCCTCTCTGCACAAGCTATATACAGCACAGTAATGAAGTCTTGCTACTTTTATATGTAATAATGGGGTTAGCAAAGGCATTTGGTGCTCACAAAGTGGATTGATATCCTTTGTGGCATTTGAGAAATATATAAATGGAATTTTTGTGCCGAGTTCAGCTTTAATCAGCCTTGATGCCGATGTATTCTGCCCTTTAATGGTAAAGGTGACTCATGGATATACATCATAGCAATCTACCCACAAACTGCTGTTTTGCCAGCCCTGTCTGAGGCTCATCATAACCTTGGCGAGGCCATATTTTCTATGCTATCAGTGATAGTGTAACCAATTATTGCTTTAAAAAAAGGACTGGATATTTTTCCTAATAATGATTGTTTATTATATTATAAGGTTATAGTTACTATAGGCTAAGAGAGAAATTCTGATTCAATGAACTGGGCCGGCTGAGGATCGGGGTCATAAAGAAATCTTTTTTTACTTCGAGAAGATAAAATTGGCAACTGTTCCCTTCCTTTAGGCCTAAGTGGGCGATTAAATTTGTGTCTTTTTTTAGCCTTATTAACTTAGTGTATATGTAAGTGTTACACATACATTCTGGGTCTTTTTAATACTTTCCCCACTATCAAAGCAGGCCTTGACCCTAAAAAAAATACCTTTTTTAAATCCCCCAATATGACCACCCCACTTTTTTTGGTTTGTTTACTTTTTTATTATTCATATTCTGGTCCGTCCCCCGTCCTCCATTCTTGCCCAAGTATTCCACCCCCACTGTATGTAAGGCGATGCCTCCTGGGATATACAACAGCAAAAAGTTTCCCAGCACACTCACCAGCCAGCATGCAAAAAAACTTGTCTAACAGCTAAGGTTAAAAACTGAGGTTTTAGATACACGTCTTCTGCAGAATATGTGAAAGCCGAACTGCTTCGTCAAGGCCCCTCTATGTAGTGCGGTCCTAACTCTAACCTATGAGAGTCTCCATCTTGGAGCACATATAGCAAAAGATAAAATTAGGTGCAGGTTTGCCAGGAGGCATCCGAACCCCCTTAAGGGTGGATCTAAAACCTCTGTTTTTAACATTAGCTGTTAGACAAGTATTTTTGCATGCTGGCATGTGAGAGTGCTGGGAAACTTTTTGCTGTTGTATTGTTTAAAGCCCTTCCATGTGCTCCTTACTTTAAAACTGGTGATAAGTTGATGAGTGCGTTTGCCATTTGTTTTGCCTCCTGGGATATCCCAGATAGCAAGCAATTGAGCTGCAAGTTTGAATATGACTTGCTAAACTATTGCAGACTTGCCAAGCTTCACAATTTTGTTGCACAATTACAGCAAGTCTGCATTGCAAGTCTCCAGACCAGCGAGCTTGCAGAGCTCTTGCAAAGACCTGTAGGACTCTTGCTGTAGACTTGCCAAGCAAATTTGCTACAAATTCAAAAAGTGTCACCTAGAATTGTGCTGCAAGTGTTATGCAAGTCTACAACTTGCCAGGAATGCGTGCGGCAAGTTAACAGGAATTACAATTTCACTCTGCCACAAGTTTGTAGCAAGTTATCCTTGCTATCTGGGATATGTGACATGCATATCTCAGGAGGCATTGGCTTCTATACAGCAAAAGGGAGGAGGGTGGGCCTTGGAGAATGTGATTGGGGGCCATCTACCTGAACCCAGAAGAGACAGCCGGCTCCCAATAAGGTCAAGGATGAAGATGATGGTGCGGGACCTGGCGTGTGGTAGCAAAATAGGCTACAGCAGGACTGTGCTGCATTTGCTGGGTGGGTGAGTATGTGATTTGAGGACAACCCAACATTAGGTAAGAGGGGGGGTGAAGTTCCTCTTTAAAGTTTATGTAAACCCAAAATTAATTTTTAGTAAGTTTGGCTTGACTTGACTTGCCAGAATATTTTTCTTCAATCTATTGCAAAATCTTTTTATTCCTGGAGATCTGGCCAGGAACAGCACTTGTGTTGCAGGCTGACAAAAGGCTAAAATTAGCAGCAGCGCTGTCAGCCAATTGTGCAAGCACCATTAGTTGGATGCTGGGCTGCCTATCAAGTTTATCAGATATGCAGCTCATCAGACAGTGAAGGAGCACACTGCTGCTAATTTGGAGGCAGTGGCTTAGCGTTGTCAGCCTGCAACAGGAAGTGCTGTTCATGGCAGGATCTCCAGGGAAGAAACTTTGCAACAGATTAACAAAAAAAGTTTGCTTAAGAAACCATTTACAGTGAGGCATGATGCCAAACATACCGAAAAATAGGTTTCCATTCACTTTCTCATAACGTTAATCGAAAAAGAAAAAAAAAACGACTCTGCATAATACATTTGTAAATAAAGTGATTACAATATATTGACCTTTGAGGACACCATCACAAGGAACAGTTTGTATGATGTCATTACTTTTCAGCCCTTTTAGAAAGTGGTCTAGCCCAGGGGTGGGCAACTCCGACCCTCCAGCTGTTGTTGAACTACAAGTCTCATGAGGCATTGCAAGAGTGACAGTTACAAGACTGACTCCCGGAGGCAGAGGCATGTTGGGATTTGTAGTTAAAGCTGGAGGGCCATTAGAAATCAGGTAATTGTTCTAAAATGAAATTTGAGTTAGAGGAAGTAAGACCTGCCCTGGCCAAGCTGCCTCCTAAGAAGTAGTGATGTGCGGGGGCTTGGTGCAAGTCCATGGAGTACGCCCAAGCAACACAAAACTGTCAGTGACACACCCTTCCTGGCTACACGTAACAAAGGGGCAGGGAATGCCCTCAACTGAAAATGTTTGGCCCGGAATAGAGGTGGGTCACTGACAGTTTTGTGAGGCTTGGCCGTACATCAAGCCTATACACATCACTACTCCTTAGAAGGCAGCTTGCCCAGGGCGGGTCCTATTTCCTCTAAATCAACTTTCATTTTAGAACAGTTACCTGAATTCTACCGGCTTGACAGTTGTGTTGACATTTCATAAGCCCATGCATATTACTACTAAGCAGAAACTGTCTAGGCCATTCAGCAATACAGGTACTCTTCACTTTTGCCAGGAAGGTCCTGGGGCTGTGGATGAGGAAGGACATGGCGTCTTATGACGTGTGCAAGCTGCTGATAGGTTTTGCACTTCCTAAGCAAGGCCATGCATTCCGATGCACACATTTTGCTTTTCAGCCAAATGCAAAAATATCTATATACCAGCATGGCTTGTTTAGCTTGATTTCTGTATCTTAATACTCGATATTTCACCGTTACCGAGACAAAAGTGCAATAACTCTGGTGCACGGTTATATATTATGACATTTTTCTATCGGCCCACCCTATAGTATTGAAGCATTGAATCCTTTTCCTTTTACTGCTATTCATTCATTTCAATAGCTGTATATCATTAAGGCTTAAACATACACACACACTGGCCTTTGCCTATGCCTGAGAAATCATCTGAAGCACCTTAGACCTGTCTAAAAGTGCATCCCAAAGATGAATTTCAGCAACATCAAGTCGCTGGCTCTGGGGTCCATAACACATTAGGGGTTTGCACAACAACTTGGGACGTTTGGAAAATGTGTTGGGCGTATGGTTTGCTCCATCTAATGGTTAAAACCAAAAACGCACTCTTGTTCTGGTCAGTACCAAAGAATGCACTTTTTAGGAAATTGTTAAGATCTTGAACTTGTGGTGGTTACAACTGGAATGTAGTATTTCCCCTGTTACGAGGGAGGGTCAGGACAGCACAGCGGCCTTGATTGATCATGTGACAACCCCTCATATGGCAGTCACCTATGGCTATGAAACACTTGCATATTGCACACAACATGCAGAGTATGTATGCAGCAAACCCCACTGTATTCATGATGTTTGCCAGTCTCCGTACCGGCAGTCCCTTCTCCGCGTATGATTGGATGTACAGCACATACACATGGTAACCTACAGAAGAAGTGATGTCACACGGAAAGCGTAGGTAACACATCAGCTTAGCCACAAATCTTCACAGCCACGTGCGGTCATGTAACATTATTCCCCCTGGTGCTAGGGCTAAGCATCATGTATTAAACACTGGAGCAGCTTTAGATAGAGTGGTACTCCGCTTCTGTGGGCAGGAAGTGCGTACCGCACTGCAGTTGGGATTAGGGAGAATTCCTTGAAGAGACACGTCTTCAATGTCAGCCTAGCACACAGATGCCCAGGTAGCATGACGAATTCAGCTCGACAGAAAACTTCAAGCCCACTGGCGTTACAACATTCGGGCATCGCTGGGTAGTGTGGCTGTTCTTCTCAAGTTTTCTTTCACTTTTATAAATTCCGGGGCATGACTATCTTCCTTAGGTTCTTCTTGTTCTTTTTCAAGCTAAAAAGAAAAAAGTAAAAAAAAATAGAATGAATCATTAGCCATACTGTGCATGTACTTCACTGGGTACTTGCACGGCGAATCCTGAGGACACATCGATGGGGAGGTAAAACTTCCGCCAAAGCAATTTTTTGTTTTGGGTAGAGTAGGAAAGGTTTAGAAGCTCCCATTACCAAACCTGTCACCATCACCAGGACAGGGATATCAACTCCAGTTCCATTGTCGGAGAAGTTCAAATCACAAAATTCCACTGCAAGATGTCATGCGGACCGGAGATGAAAAGAATGTCCCCAATTAGGGCATAGGCAGGAAGAATAAACACCCCCCATGCTATAGAAAGCTGTTTTGAGCTTTTAAAGGTAAACTCAATTTTCCTAACAAATATTTAACATTTCAACAAAGCCGTATATAATCAGTTATTTTGTATTTTCATGTAATTTAAAATGACATTTCTATTCCAATCTACAACCACTGTAATTTTTTGCAGTAGTCAAATGTCATTGCCTGCCAATATGGCAACCTGGAGGTGTCCTGTAGATGGTCCTGTGCATGATTGGTGTACAGAATGCCTCCAGAAATGTCATTTTCTGCTTCAGTGATGTCCATTAGAGAGTCAAGCCTGTTTTTAAAGCAGTACCATCTGAGGGCCTGAAGATAACGGGCATCTAATATTGTGTTTAAGCCTTGTCCCTTGTTCGCAGTCATCATCTTTGATGATATTATGTACTGTAAATGAGGATATATTTAACATCTTTTATGGTGAGGAACATTATTCTGAAATTGTGCAACAATTTTCAGACACATCTTTTCACAGATTTGTGAACCTCTGCCAATCTTTACTTCTGAGACACTTGGGGAAATTTATCGAAACTGGAGCAGACAAAATCTTGAGCAGATTTGCACTGCAACCAATCAGCCTCTATCTCTCATTTTCAAATGTTACCTGAGCAAACTGAAGAGAGAGGCTGATTGGTTGCCGTGGGCAACTGCTCCAGATTCTGTCATGCTCCTGTTATTATAAATTCCCTCCTCTGACTCTCTAAGATGCTCTTTTTATACCCATTCGTGTTACTGACCTGTTGCCAATTAACCTACTTAGTTGCAACAATGTTCTTCCAGTTCTTCCTTGTTAGTGCCACTTACTTTGTCAGCTTTTTGTTGCCCTGTCCCCACTTTTTGTAAACGTGTTGCTGCCATCAATTCCAAAATTACCTTATTGTAAGGTAATTGGATCTGTTTTGTATTTTCTATTGCGAATAACATATGGCTTTATCAGATTTGCAAAAGATTGCATTTGGTTTTTTAATGTGTTACCATCTGAATTACAAATCTGCATTACCAGCAGATGTGTTTCAGGATCACCAGACTACAGACATACGAGAAAAGAGTAAGGTGCTTCATTACAGCAATGTCTGGATACAAAATAAAGTACTGATCCAGTAAGGTATGCTCTCATGTGGGCATTTATTTCTTGTTTTGAAATTAAAGCTCCTAAAATGAGCTCTTAAAGTGACATTAAACCCTCAGATTTTTTAACATAAACCTAAACTGTAATGTGTGCCTTACTGTAATCCATGGTAGTTTCCCTTCTCTTTGCTGCTCTTCCTTTTAAATCTGTATCTCTTCTCATGCTGGGGGAGAACTTCCCTTTGCAGCTGAGTGCCTCTTCCTGTAGTGCTGGCTCAGGTTGCAAACCTACACACAGAAACCATGTAGCCATTCCAGTGACAAGGCAGTCTGCTGCAAAACAGAAGTTCTGCCCAGCATGAGAACAGATACAGATTTAAAAGGAAGAGCAGCAAAGAGAAGGGAAACTACCATGGATTACAGTAAGGCACACATTACACTATTGTTTTATGTTAAACAATCTGAGGGTTTAATGTCACTTTAACGCCTAATCCCCCAGTGGTTAACTAAAATTGCTCTTGGATTTGGGATCACAGGTTACTGTCCCTGTTTTTGGTCAGTTTGAGAGATGATCTAAGGTCTTCGGGGCACCAGCAAACACCGTTGATCTAGAATGAGAAACCTGTCTAGTCCCTTTTGTTTTCCCTCCTGATATAACTACCTACCTACCTACCTCCATACTATGTATCTTCTCTGTGTCTGTTTGTGCTTTGGCTATGGAGACCATAGCCAAAGCACAAACAGACACAGAGAAGATACATTGTGATTTGCTTTAATTCCTCTATACAAGTCAATGTAAGCCCCAGGGTACCCCAACATGCTTGTACAGATAGAAAAGCTGTGTGCTCACCTGTTCCAGTCTCTGCTGTCTCTTTAACAACTCCTGTTCAAATGGCGACTGCATCTTCTTAATTTCCTCTTCCTCTTTCTTCTGCTGGATGACCTTGTCTCTCCGTCGATTCTCCAACACTCTTTGGAGCTCTGGCTTTTTGTCAATACTCAGACCCCTGTGGGAAACAACAACAAAAATCATGCAAACATAGATGGAGGTCCCATGACATGTTCCTTGATATAATGAAATGCCATACAAAATTCGAAGGTACAATTACTCTAGTGACCATTGTATCAAAGGAACCCATGTAAAATACCTCACCAAAGTTTAGGATTGTACTTAACTTGCCCGCATTCCCCCTGAGGCTGCAATCCAACATCAGACCCCTACGGGGGAATATCTCACACTCCCTCGGCATCCCCACAGTGCAGCATTTGATGGGGTCGAAATGGCAGAGCATGCATAGCTCTAAACATCCAAATACATTTTTGTGTGTGACAATGAATTGGGCAACAGAATAATGTATATAAGAGCATCCATTGATTTTCTATCACTCAGTCCAGGGGCTGAAGGACAACATTCAACTTGCATGTGACTCACTTTGAAACTGTATTGCCTTTCTCTAAAAGAACATTATAAAGATTAAAATCATGGAAGTTGCTACTGCTAACTTGTTTTTAAAGGTGCAAGCTCCAGGGCTGCCATCCTCATGCTTTTACTATTCGCTGAGTCACTGGAACAAGCATGAGTATCCCAACACTTCACTTGCTGCATGTTTGATTTAGGTCACTGACACTGTTGACAAGGATGAAAGTAGCAGCCTTGGACATTATATCTTTATAAACATATATAAGAGCATTAAACTATTCAGTCCTCGTCCCTCTTGTTGAAAGTAGAAGTGTACCACCCAGGACAAGGTCAGTGATCTTATCACATATGTAGGTACACTCCTACTCTCAGAGCAACAGGAGAGAGGAGGACTGAGTGCAATAGTTTGCTGCTGTTATAGCACCAGAAAAGGGTAAGGGGATCATTCATTTATAAAAGTTCCTCATGGTGTATAGACGAGTAGATACCGTTCATATGGCACTATTGCCCCTAGGAAAATTCCTATACTTGTCAGTGCCGTCTGGCTATATGCTGGGCAGAACTTTAATGAATGAAACCCTAAGTGTTTTACTGTTTTTTGCAAACTTTTAATAAATTGTTTGGTTTTATATAGGGGTATCTCTTTTCTTCGCCCGAGGTGGTGGTGGTGGTGGGGGGCTTTGGTGCTGATGGTGTACGTTCAGGGTGGGGTGGGTGGTTCTGCTGGTGGTGCACGCTAACAGGGGGATGGTGGACCAGCTCTGGCTGGTGTCCCGCCCAGCTCACTGACGTCACTGGTTTCTGAGAGCTGGACAGGAAGCCGGTAAGAGCGTCCCAGGTTGCTCAGAGCTGGGCAGGAAGTTGTGTATGGCCCTTACACATCTCCCTGCCTGGCTCACAGCAACCTGGGACGCTCTGGCTGGAAAGGGAGCGGCAGGCACACTGCTCAATGCTCAAGCGTACATGAGCTGTTTGGAGAGGTGTGAACAGCCACAATAGAAAAGCATGAAATGATATTGAGTGTTGTCACATGAAGAGAAATGCACAAAAACTTGTGACAAAATGCTCAGATGTGTATGGGGCTAAGACTATTCCTGTATCCTGTATAATGTACAATTAACAGAAAAAAATAATAATCTGGATCGCTGTGCCAGCAGATAAAAATTTCCCTCACTGAGAGAAATAAATTTCATGTATATTGCTCATTTTGAACCAGTAGAGGATCTACAATCAGATCAGACTATGTGGGCACTCTGGATCCTAGCTAAACACAGAAATTAATCTGGAATCAATTACAGTTGAACCTACATAAAGTCAGCAGATGGTGGCCTAATGTATAGGCACGATCTGACTGACTAAATGTTTTGTAGGAGCAACTTCTCCATAAATATGAATATTTGGCTCAGCCAGAAATATGTTTTGTATGCCAATGGTAAAAGAAGAGGCTGCACTACTATATACTCTTAAGTCTGAATTATCCCAGAGAGGAACAATAGTAGATTAAAAAAAATCCAACACAAGTGGCTGACCCTTCCTTCAAAACAGAGCTACCACAGGATGTGTCAAGAAGTTGGAAAGTACACACAGACAGTGATTAATGTCTAACCTGATAAGGGTTCGATTGAATGAAAACCTATTTATGTCCATTGGAAAACATTCTGAACGGTGCTCTGCAGAATGTAATAACATCTTATGTCTTGATGGGAAATATGAGATGTCTATTTGTTTTTAAATTGCCATTTTTGTCTTTTTAAAGTCTGTATAATTGTATTTCAGCAAGCTGATTCACAAACAGAGCAAATATGGAATTCTGCCACTAGATGGCAGAGTAACATCATTTACAGAAAATACTAATACTGTGTTGTTGCTTAATACTGTATTATTAGACAATGACAATTCATCCACAGAGGAAGAGAAGGGCATTTAGCAGCTGATATTATCTCATGCAAAGTAACTGATATTATCTTAACAGTGCAATGGAGATTTTTCAGTGTAAGCATGAGAGGGCTACATAAGACTGAAAGCACAGTGGTGTAGTGAGTGGGTAGCTCTTCTGCCTTGCAGCACTAAGGGTTCCCAGTTCAAATCCCAGCCAGGTCACTATATGCAAAGAGTTTGCATGTTCTCCCTGTGCTTGTGTGAGTTTCCTCCCACGCTCCGAAGAAATGCTGGCTGGTTAATTGGCTCCTGTCTAAATTGGCCCTGTATGTATGCATGTGAGATAGGCGCCTTAGATTGTAAGCTACTTGAGGGCAGGGACTGATGTGAATGTGCACTGAGTAAGCACTGCATACATTGTCTGCACTATATAAATACTGATAATAAATAAACAGGGATTATATGTAGTGAGCTGCACAAAGTGTGTTCACCAGTGCAATTGGATTTTAGCTGCCATGGGTATATGATGATGATAATGATATTATTTATGTTATTAAACATAGAACCTTTAATAGACCTATGGAATATAGCCATACAAAAAGAGCAATGACGTACAAAGCGGAGAAGCCCATAGCAACCAAATAGACAAAAACTACTTTCAAGTGACTTAAAAATGCTGCACGTATAGAAAAAAAAAAACCTGTTGATCCTGCGAGAAATCCAAGCAGCGTTACCTGAGTTCTCCCCTGCTCAGCTATAGAACACCTCCCATTTTGTTTTGGAGATGAGGAGAGAGAGAGGTGTTCCGCAGTTCAACAGGGGGGAACTTAGGCAGGACTGATAACACTGCTTAGGGTTCAGTGTGAAAGTTGACACCACAAATGCATAAGGTTGCAAACGAAAATGCAGGTAAAATGCAAACATGAGAAAAAAACCTTGCACATCAGCGCCAGTTTTCACTAGCTGCCAGCGCAGATTTAGGCCAAATTCACACTTGTGTTTAGAAGCAGACTACAAATTCCCCCATGAGACTCATCGGAGGAACAGCTACAGGCAGGCAGCCCTATACAAAGCAATGAGAGGCTGACAGCGCCGGCAGCTGCTTGCGTCCATTCACGTGTATTCAGAAATGTACCAATGACCTGCAGATTATCGCTCCTGGATGCAAACAGTTGTGTCTTTGCGCCATCCTCCGTTGGCAATTGTATAAGTCTGATTACAAGAGAATGGCTGCGGGTGCTGTCAGTCTCTCATTGCTTTGTATAGGGCTTCCCTGATTCTATTAACACTGCTGAGTCTCACGGAGGAGTGAATGGGGCCCTGTGGCAATATATCTGTAATATAAAGTGTCATAAAGCCACTGCAGCACAATGAGAAGGTAAAAAGTTATTTTTTTAATGAATCAGAATAAGATGCTCAATAGATAATCAATTGGTGGTTGTGATTGAGTGACATTTTCGGCAATGTCTGCAATATAATTGGTACACTGTAATAAAGCATACCTGAACCCAAAATCGAATATATTGCAGCTTACCAGTCCTTGGGTGAGATGGCGTCATTCGTTTTCTTTTAGGTTGTTTAGTTTTTATTTTCTCCAAGTAATAATGCAAATAACACTTTCTGCCCTGGGGTGGCTACGTTCACTCCTCCCCTGAATCTATGAAGGTAGCTATGGTTGTCACCCAGAAAAAAGTCTTGATACAAAGTCCATAGTCAATAGCCAATGTGTTACAGGGGCTAACAACTCCCCCCTTCATCAGGGCCTATACTGACGGTGATTGGAATAAACTGGACAATAAGAACAAAGAATCAATGCTTAGGCCAGGGGTGGGCTACTCCAGACCTCCAGCTGTTGTGGAACTACAAGTCCCATGAGGCATTGCAAGACTGACTGTTACAAGCATGAGGCAGATGCATGTTGGGATTTTTAGCTACAGTACAGCTAGAGGACTGGAGTTGCCCACACCTGGCTTAGGCTGATGACCATCCAGACATATAAAGAATGTCACCAGCACACCAAAAATCCTTTCAGGATCGCCTGATGAAGGGACCCTGTGTGGCCCCGAAAGCGTTTGTTCTACTTGACATGGTTCTGAATAAAGGAACAATTGGTGATCCTGAAAGGATTTTTGGTATGCTGGTGACATTCTTCATATGTTTATTACAACCGCGGCTCCATCCGCAGTCACTACAAGCACCCTTCCCTGAAGATTGGGACATCCGGTCAGCTCACATGAAGTGCTGAGAACACTGCATTTCTGGCAAGATCAAAAGGTAATTTCTGTACCTGCTGAAAAAGTAACCTAAAAAATGAAAACTTATGCAGCCCCCATGTCTAATTGACTGCTGATCTGCAATATATTCAATTTTTGTCCTTGGGTTTAGTTATGCTTTATGCCTTCCAATGAATCCACTTACAGGTTAAAATAGAAGCAAGTTGTAATGTATACGGCATGAGAGCCACGGGAACCTCTGAGCCGTGTCCGCCTTCTAAATGTGAGTGTAAAAGGTTATCTGTCGTACAGGGTTCCCCAGTCACCTCCTAGTCTGACTTCTATGTGACTTGTAAATGGAGATGGCAACTCACTTCCTAGGATAATGGACACCCGCAGCTTTCAATCTGGTTAAACTCTGGCAGAAACGCCTAATGGCATTTATTGAAGCAAAGATCGCGGATGTTCAAGAGGGCAACTAAAGAGTTCATTTGGCTTCAGTGTGATCAGTAAAAGTTTGGATTTGATTGGTTAAGGCTGGTGCTTATGAATTGGACTTGCTGCTATGTTAATAATAGGAAAGCGATCATAGGGCCTTGCTTTATTTGGAACATTCTTATGATAAAAATCTGCAAAAAATGCTGATATAACAGGAACATCATATCACGCAAGCCTTGCTTAGCTTCTACCCTTTTGCTTCTCTTGAGTATAATTTCACTTCAGGGTCGCTGTAAAACAATAAAAAGGCCAGCCGGTTTACTTAAAGTGACCCCATCACCTATAACAAGGCAGCCCTGTAAAAGAAGCCCAGTTATACTTAAAGTGGACCTCTACCCCCAATTACTAAAAATCACATCAGCATGCTGATATGAAATCATCTTACATCCATTAGTTAAACAAACATATTTTTTATTTTACTTACAATTATTGTAGATGCCTAGCCAAATCAGGAAGCCGGGAGGTGGGTCACGATGTGCTGCCCGGCTTCCTGATTGGTTAGGAAGCCGGCTTCACTTGTTGCTAGGCAGCCTGGCTTCCCGACCAATCAGGTAGCCGGATGGCACCTCATGACCCGCCCCCGGCTTCTTGATCGGTCTGGAAGCCAGGCAGCCTCAGCAAGCAAAGCCGGTGTTCTTTTGATAGAACACCGGCCTCCCAGGCAATCAGGAAGTCGGGCGATGGATCATGATCCGCTGCCCGACTTCCTGAAAAAAAATATTGGTACTTGTATTTGATACGAAAAAACAGTATCGGTGCATCCCTAGCTCCATATTTAAATCTCAGACCAATGAGAATCTCAGTTTCATAAAACGGAAAACCTACCTTCGATGGTTCATTAGCAGTTCCCGGTGGAGCTCCTGGTGACTTCTGGATGCTTTGACTGGATTCTGGATTTTCTTAGGTTTGATGAGTTCAGTGTTTGCCTCCAGATAATCAGGATTAGCAAGAATACTTCCTATATCAGGTGGGTCCCTCTGTATATCAGAGTACATGGAGGCTGCGGACAGAGCACATACGTGAGATTGGAACCGGCACTGCACCATGTTCTAGCTAATTCTCATATATAAAGGAAAGCTGTACTGGGGCCACCACTGCTAATTGCCTGGCTGTCATGCAGATCCAATGGCTGCAATGATTTCTGTGTCCCTGACTTGGAACAAGGATGTAGATCAGGAATTCTAACTTCACTTTGACTTTCTGATCTGAATGGTGGTTCTGGGTCAGCAACTCAGAAAGTAGTGACGCCAGAGACAACTAGGCAATAGTAATTATTACAGGGAAGCCAACACTGGCAACCTCCACATTTTTCATCAGCCCAGAGTTCCCTTTAATAATAACCATGCTGATCATCTCAGGAACTAAAATTATGCTATATTCAAGCGTGTGTAAACCCAAGAACAAGAATGTAAAATATTTCAGTTTAATGGCTCTTAGGCCTCATTCACACTGCTAAGAGAGGGCCCGTACAGATCCGTGTGCCATGCACGGCCGTATCGGGCCGTTCCGATGTAGGACAGGTGCTGCGTGTGATTGTACGCAGCATCCTGTTCTTCTCTATGGGAGTACGCGGCCGTATGCTCACCCGAGCTGCACATCCGTGCAGGTGCGCGTGTCCGTACTGGTATGCAGGCAGGATGGATCCTGTCTTCGTCCAAGCACGGAAACCCGCACGGATGTGCAGCTCGCGTGAGCGTACGGCCACCTACTCCCATAGAGAAGAACAGGATGCTGCGTACAATCACACGCAGCACCAGTCCTTCTCGGGAACGCCGCATGGATCTGTACGGGCCGGCTCTTAGTAGTGTGAATGAGGCCTTACAGTACATGAAGTGGCTGCATTAGTTTTATTAGGCTTCCTTTATCCCTTTCACGACCACTGACATACCTAGTACATGGGTGGCAGCACGGCCCTGTATACAGACTCTGTTTACCTTTGTAAAGCCGGCTGCTTTCACTTACAGTAATATTATACTCTCAATATTTTTTCCATAATGAATCCAACTCAAATAAATATACACTGCCCAGCAAAGTATTTCTTTATATGTTGGCCCAGGCATTTACAGTCATCATGTTTCCAAAAAGATCGAACTCTCTCAGCTCAACTTCCCTGAACCTCATGTCCAGTACTAGATCACAAGGGAGAGCACAGTCTCCAGAAGCCTAGCTTGGAGAAGAGAGGAGTAAGGGGGAGAGAGGAGCAGGGAGGAGAAGATTGTCTTACCTTGCTGTGCCTGTGTGTTTGTGGAGACATACACAGCTTACTACCGGTAGCACACACAAGGGTGGCTCCATAGTGCCCTGCAAGGGAAGAAACCACCCTAAACCAGGATATCAGGGCCACTGCTCAGGGAACCAGCTGATTCTGCAGGACTTTTAAACATCAAGACACAGCAGTCATTGTAAGTGATTTGATCAGGGATTTTGAAATGGCTTAAAAACTTTTTGACTTTAATATCATTTTAAAAAAGACCCCGTAATCTGACCAGGGTGCCCAAATGTTTGCATGTAACTTCCGAATCCTATTGAGTAGAATGGTGCGTAAAATGTCCCCCAGTGACGTCACAAGGGGGTGTGGCCTGCGCCCAGGTGACACCATTGGAGGGGTGACACCCCCTTTGAAAAGTCGGGCACGCAGTCATGGACCGAGAGCCTGACAGTTTCGGGAGAGAGGAGGGGACCCGGCGGCATACCTTATCTGGCCGGGTGACTGTCTCCTCCTCCCTCTGCCAGCGGCAGGTATCAATCGCCACGCATACGCGACAACGTCATCGTGCACGTGCTTGGTGACGTCACGCGCATGCACAATGACATCACGGCGGGGTGTCACCCGGTAAACGGCCTCGGGGCGTCCCTGATGTCCCCTTACATACAGATGATGTCAGGGAATTTTATCTACCATTCCCCAGCTCCTCCAGAACCTAGTGAAGTGAGAATCATTTTCCTATTATTCAAATTTTTCAATTAAATAAACATGAATTCCTGGGTAGTATTCACTCAGCAGCTGCGTTATAGATCAGACAAATTCTCTGGCAGGAACACTTCAGGAACGCACAAGAGCGTTCTCCAAATCGTGTGTAATTAAAGACAAATCTTTTGCTAATCCTGTGCATTGGGAAAGCTGCAGTGGAAGGCGAGAGAAACAGTCATTGTGATGCATCAAAAGCTGGTAAACGAAGAGGAATGTATCATAATCTCAGACCCGTGTGCCAAGTAGCACTTAAAGTGATAGTACACCAAAATAAAAGAAAATAGCTGCAGGTATAACATGCACCTTCTGTACCCTCAAAAAGTCCCACATACACAGCTTACTAGCACACACAAGGGTGGCTCCATAGTGCCCTGCAAGGGAAGAAACCACTCTAAGCCAGGATATCAGGGCCACTGATTCTGTTCTGACAGGCAAAGCTTTGACACTTCTAGCTATGTGGGATGCCTTGCCCCAATCTGCAGTCTTTCTGCTGCCATCACTATATGACACATTAGCTACATAGGGCTGTGGAAGGAACCACAGCTCGCAGCAGGGAGCAAGACACCTGGTCTACTGGGAAGTGTACCAGATGCTGTAGTGTCTTTACACAGCTGTATCTCTAGAATACAACTGAGAAAAGCAACACAGACAGGCAGGGCCGTCCATATAATGAGACAGCTCAAGGCTGTTGCTTCAGGTGGCATCTCTTTGAGTCACAGTGGCGGGGGGACAGCAGACAGAGTGGCATGGCTGGCCCCCTTTTCCGGTCATAGCGTTCTAGGTTTCTAAGAGCTGGGTAGGGAGATGTATAAGGGCCATCTGGTTGACAGGAACTTGGCGGGACCCAGCCAGAGCACCCCCCTGAGCTTCTGGCAACCAGTGACATCACTGGTTGCCAGGAGTTCTGTGGGACACCGGCCAGAGCATCCCAGGTTGCTAAGAGCCGGAAATGTGTAAGGGTCATCTGGTTGCTTGGAGCTTGGCAGGACACCGGCCAGAGCGACCCACCGAGCTCCTGGCCATCAGTGACTTCTATTTCATGACCAGCACCATTCAACCCACTTCCTTTAAGCCCAAGTTGTCCTGGACCCACCCCAACCTGTGACTAGTCAGTGAAAGTAAAAACAGCACAGTGATAAGTAGGGATGCACTGATACCGATACTAGTGTCGGTGCCGATGCAGAGTATTTCGGCAAATACTCGTACTCGCCCAAATGCCTATACCTAGCCAGAAACTTGAGCTTCCGGTATCAGGAAGTATCAGCGAGTCATTACACGCTGCCTGGCTTCCTGATTGGCCAGGAAGCCGGCTCCATGCTCCCTCATCACTTGTGACGAGGGAGCATGGAGCCGGCTTCCCAGCCAATCAGGAAACCGGGCCGTGTGTAATGAC